GGCAAAGGCTTGGCATGCAGCTGGTTCCCCTTAGGACCACCTGGCCGGCCAGACACAGCTGCCAGTGCCATCACCAGGGGCCTGGGGACCAACGAGAGGGCACCATCCTTACTCCTAGACAGAAGGGGGTTCCATTAAGTGGCGCACGAGTTACCGGCATGGGAAGAAACTGGAACCTGTGCCCTGTTGGTGGAGTGGATACACATTCATGAGATGTTGCATCTGTAAATCGGTGATGGATGGATGGATAAACCAGTGACCAAATCACACCTCTCTGGGACCTCACCAGAGGTGGGCACTCAGGCCCCCTCTGCCTGGCGGCCTACAACCTCACCACTGATCCCACTGGGTGGAGTGCAGCTGGATCCCAGCCGAGTGCTGAATCAGATTCCCTTCTTCCTGAGGGCATCTCAGGACCCGTCTGAGCCGGGCGGGCACTGCCCCCCTGCCTGTCCTAATCCAGAACTGATTCTGCAACGTCTGCTTCCCAGAGAGACAGTGCTGGGGAAGTTAAGGAGACTCGAGGTGTTGAGCTTGTTGAGAGAAGATGAAAGAAATTCCCCCAAGCTGGGGTCTAGGGCCCAAAACCCAAACTCCCTCGAGACCAAGGGATCCACCAAACTTCTCCTTGCTGTATAGATCAATGTCCCTCTCCCCTCAAACCCCAGCTGAAGACTGCAGGCTTCACTTGTAGCAGCATGCGCCCAGCAGAAGGGGTACTGGGTGAGACTCGGATAGGCAGGTGCTAAGCCCCCTCCTCCAGGAAGCCTTCCCTGACTCTACTGCCTGAAACTCCGTGTGTCAGAGTCCTACTCCTCACTAACCGTGTGATCCAGAAGTCATCCCATTCCCTCAGAGTCTCGGTTTCCTAATGTTCACAGTGAGTCTCCTGCTACACAAGGTGCCGAAAGTGCTGAGAGGCCAGCGTTGACACATTCCTGACAAGAACCCAAGAGCCTACTTCCCTTGCCCAGGCTGGCTGAGCCCCAGCCCCAGAAGGCAGATTTACAGGTGGTCTGTGACGAGAAAGGGCTTCCCAGATGGTGCTAGTGGTAAAGAACCCCCCTGCCAATGCAGAAGACTAAGAGACATGGGTTTAATCCCTGGGTGGGGAAGATCCCCTGGAGAAGGAAATGGCAATCCACTCCAGTATTCTTGCCTGGAGAACCCCATGGACAGAGGAGCCTGGTGGGTTATGGTCCACGGGGTCGCAAAGAGTCGGACACAACTAAAGCGACTTAGCACGCAGCACACATGTGACAAGGAAAAACTTCCAGCCTGAGTATCCCTCCAAAGACCCCTGTCACAAGAACGTGAGGTGGCCTTTCAAATCCCCTTGCACTGTACATGTGAGGAAACTGATTCAGGGAGGGAGCAGGAACAACTTGCAGGGCTCAGCATGGCCTGAAACCCTCGGCTCTCCCACCATCACCCTAACTTTTTCAGCCTCAAATCTGCCCGTCCCCAACCCTGAAGCTGGGGAGGCCCCTCTCCCCGCCCCTCCTCTGAGGGGCCACAGGCGAATGAGTGAGCCCATGGTGGCATGGGGCCTGGGTCCCCAGCTGGTCCTGCCTGGCAGCGGGGCCCTGGGCAAGACCTCAGTCTGCCTGTCAGTGATTCGAGGGCTGTCATCATGCCGAGGGCAGGGGGCTCTTACAGAAACTCCGGTCGGGATAACGTCCCCACAATGGGGCCTGGGCGGATCTGCAGTCAGGCAATCCGAAGGGGGCTTGTGCACGTGAACCCGACAGCGGTACCCTCGGACCCTGTCGGCTCCTTCCTTGTGGCCAGATCGGGACTCGCAGAGCGTGACTCCGGAGCAGGACTAACCTGTCTCTATAATCCCTGGACCTTGGCTGCCTCAGGCAGAGAACAGGGCCCACTGCTCGGGGACTGGGACGATTCGAAGGCATGACACCCCTGCGCCCAGGGCTGTGTGCTTGGCGAACAGCCGCTCTTAGGTGTGAGGGTGTGACTGGTGGCTGCTGTTTGCCCAGGAGGACTGGGTGTGAATAGAGCTCACTGTGCCCCTGGGCACTCTCAGGGCAGAACACAGGCACACACACGTGCACACACACCCAGCACGCCTACGCACGGCCCACGTGAGCCTCTGTTTTGTCAGCTCCGCGAGGTTCGGGGTGATCACATCTCCCACCCCCAAGCCAGAGCCACAGAGAAACCGGGCCTCATTCCAGGCAGGGTGATGGGCCTGGCTCCGTACCCCCAACCCTCAGGCTGGGGAGCCCTGGGGGAGCTGCTCACACCACCTAGCTGCCTAGCCAGAGACAGGAGGGAAGGCTGACCTTCCCTGCCACCCCAAAGCAGCGAAAACACAGACCTCAGCCTGGGGAAGTGGGCACAAGAGCCCAGCCCTCCGTCTGGCTCAGAGAAGGTCAGACAAGAAGCAGCTGCCGTGTGTGTCGCCAGCCCTGGGCCTGCTCCATGAGCACACCCTCCCTGCTCCCACCATGGCCAGGAGAGCCTGGATATCATGCCCCCCGGTGACCAGCTCATACTCACCTTCTGCCCCCCAACGAAGCTGAGGCCTGCCAGGCAGAGAGCCAGGAAGCAGAGCAGGAGGCGGCCACGGGGCCCTGCCATGGCCGGTGGCGGCTGGCGGGCACGTTGTCCGGGACAGAATCAGGGCAGCGGCGTGGGGAACGAGCTCTAGGAGGCAGGCACTTCGCAAGCAGGCAGGACGGGGCGGGCAGGCGCTTTAAAAGCAGCCGGGAGGCCCCGCCAGCTCCCCCCAACAGGAACCCGCCAGGATTTCCTCCTGCATATCAGCAGCCTGCAGGCGGAAGGGAAGGTGCTGGCCACTGACCCCTGCATGGATGCCTGGGCCCTGCTTGGGGCTTCCTGGCCCGGGACCCTCCTCCTGGCATCACGGCCTCCAAGCCCACCATTAGCCACAAGCCTGGGGTCTATCAGAGTTGGCGAAGCCCATTCAGGGGCAGATGCAGACAACTCCCCACCCCAAGCCCCTACAAGCCCAGCATGTTTCATTCAGAAGCTCTGGGGGGTGCTGGGGAGTCGGGGAGAGGGCAGCCTCAGAATCGGGTCTGCCTGCCTCCATCTGTCCAGCTGCTCAGGGCACCTGCCAGCCTCTGTGCTAAGAGGAGGCTGTTCCCCTCACCTGCCTGGCTTCACTTACTTACCTTCGACTGAGTTTGCCCCACTCAGCCTCCACCACCCCCGGATCCCCATCCCCGCCACATCCCCTCTCCCAAGAGGCAACCCCACTGCCGGTAGCTCTCTTGCCCCAGTCGTCTCCACTCAGTCCTGAGGCTTCCCCCTGCACCTTGCAACCCCCTCCACACCAGGCTGGCCCCTCTGACCTGCTGCCTGCTCCCTCTGCTCTGCTCCACCACAGGTTTTTCTATCAATACTCTGTTAAGCATAGGATAAGCTCCCTTGGCACTGCTATTACCCCCCAGATCCTCACAAGACTCACCACAAAGTTCAGTCTCAGGTCAGAGGTCTCCAGCCTGCACCTCCTTCTAGCACTGGCCACCAGCGAACACCGGTTTATTTATTTTCCGTCCCCTACTGGAATGTCAGCTATGGGAGAGCAGGGATGGAGTCTGGCTGATTCACACACAGATACTCCATTCAGATTGGTGGGATGAATGAATGAGACATTACTCTTACTATGCTGTTACTGTTGGGGGAATGGAGGCTCAGAGGGGTAGGGAATTTCATCCAAGATTGCTCAGCTAACCACTGGAAGGATCAATCCTAGGTCTGTGGCTTGTGGGGTACCCTGCCCCCCACTACACTGCAGATGACCCCGGCTAGGTCCCGTCCTCATGGACCCGGGCTGGGGTCTGCACTTACCTGTTGGGCTGCAGGGTCTGGGAACAGCAGTCCAGGTGTACGCGTGGTGGGCCCTGCCTCTGGACTATAACTCTCCATTTATAGATGATGTAACCAATGAAGACCAATGAAGGGGCCTTGGCACTGCCCCCTCCTGTACCAGCTGAGAGGCTATGGGGCTCATCTTCAACATCTGGCTGAGGGGAGGTAAAGGGGAAGAACCTCCCCTTGGTGGCTGCCCCCATCTGCCAGAGCCTTCCTGAGAGTCATGGGCCCTCCGGGCGAGGATTCCCCACTGTGCTGCACCAGGGAAACTGAAGAGAGGCAGGCCTGGGAGCCAGGCTGACACCCCCCCTCCACCCCCAGTGCTGCTCGTCCTGAATGGTCCTGCAACCTTAGGACCCAAGGCTCCTGATGGGGCCAGGATGAGGGAGAGGCGAGTGGGCCTCGGGAACCCTGCTGCGGGGCAGGAATGGGTTGAGGAAGGACGGGGCACAGGGGCTGCCTCCCACAGAAACCTCATGTCCTACCTCGGCAGGGCTCCCTGAAGCAAACCACCTCTCAGGAGATGAGCCCAGACACAGACAGCACGGGGTCCTCCTCCCCACTAGCCACCACCAGGGCTACCTCCTCTGCAGGCCATCCTGGTGAGACCCCGAGACCCCACACAGAGAGCTGTCCCAGACTCCAGGCCCAACCCTCACAGCAGGCTGGGGGTGACATTCCAGACCTGAGGGGACAGGGCAGCAGCCAGGGTGCCAGGGGCTCCTAAGGAGCTTCCAGTTTGCCCTGAGGCTCCTGGTTTAGCCACAGCCCAGCAGGGGCCTGTCCAAAAAGCCCCTTCTATCTCCCGTCCCAGGCTCCTCAGAAACCCATCCAGTACCCGGCCCTGGGAGAGCCGCTCCCTTGCAGCCTCATTCCCACTCCGTTCCCCCAGTAGCTCACCTTCTTATGTCTCCATGGCACCCTCTCTCCCTCAGGCCAACCATGCCCTGCACCAACACCCTGCTGGGACCCTAGTGGCCCTTGAAATAAAAGACCCAGACTGTGTCAAACTTGGCTTTACTGGAATAGAGAAAATAGGCAACAGGAATCACACTTGGTGCTGGCAGCTCTAGGTCCCCTGCCCCCAGCCCTCTCAGCCCCAGGGCCTGGCAGCCTCCTGCCCCCATGGGGCTCTCCCACTAGTCTGGACCAGGAGAGGCCTCCCCTCTGGAAAACTTCGTGGGGTGGGAGCTTTCAATGTGCATTTCACTGCCAGCTTCATAATTAGCAGCAAATGTCCACAATGACAGCAACAGCAACAAGACTGGACTTGACATCTCAGGAAAGGACGCGCAGAAGAATAAACCAGACCCAAGGTGCCACGGATCAACAGCAGTCTCACGACAGAAGACACGACACTGGCATGCCCGGCCACATGGCACGAGGGGCAGGCGACAGATCTGTGGGATGCTGGCAGCACACGGAGGCCCTGGGGGGGCCGCGCTCTCACTCCCAAGATTCGAAAGAACTGACTGAACACAGGTGTCACATTCTCTGGGAGGACAGTCAAACGAAGGTATCGAAAGAGAGCACATTTTAAAAACAGCGAAGGTGGCCTGCTTCCTGGCCCTGGGTGGACACCGGGCCAGACACGGTGGGCAGCAAGGGCCAGCCCACCTGGGCGAGCCTAGCCAGTGAGCTCCACGGGCAGCTCCCGGCCACACAGGGCCTCCCACTGACGGGCTAACAGCGAGATGAGCTTCTCTCGGCTCTCGGCACTGGGGACAAACACCTGCCACTGGACCTCACGGCCCTGACCACCTCCAGCCAGGCCACCTGGCACCTCCCCGAAGTGGTCCAGGGTGACGTTGCCCATGAGGTCGTGGCCCTGCACATCATCGAAGACCAGAGTGAGGGCCTGCGGGTATGTTTGGTAGCCCATGAGCACGCGGTCCAGGTCCCGGACACGGCGCCCGTCGTCCAGCCGGTACCGGTCCCTCTGTGGCGGCTCTTTGGCGAACTCGGGCAGCGGGTAGTGGACAAAGTCCTCGTCCAGGAGGAAGATCTCAGCGCTGGTGAGCAGGAGCGTTTTGGGGCGCAGCAAGCCCCTGTAGCGCCCTGGCTGCGGCGAGCCCACCTGGAAGGCCTGCACGTACAGCAGGATGCTGAGGGCCGGCGCCTTCTCTGGGGCAGCCATCTTCTGGGCCACAGTGAACGTCAGGTCTCCGACCTCCTCCTCGCTAGGGTAGGTGAACTTGACGCGGCTCGAGTGGATCAGCTCATAGTTCTCCATCTTCCCTGAAGAGAGAGACGCCACCAGGGCTGCAGGCTGGAACTGGCCTGTGGTGGTGCTGGGCTCACCAGCAGCCCCAAGGCCCCCAGAGACGGCAGCATGAGTCACATGACCATCAGAAGCCGGAGAGAGTGATCCAAGCCCCACCCCCACTCGGTCTGAGACCCTCAGGCCAGCAGCTCAGAGCAGGGCAGACACAGAAATGCACGTGCTGAATGGCTGTGGATTTGCTGGCACAGAGACTCTGCCATGGAAAAGTCCACGGAGGGCTTCCGTGGTGGTCCAGTGGTTCAGAAACCGCTTTGCAATAATGCAAGGGACACTGGTTTGAACTCTGGTTCAGGGAGATTGATTTCACATGCCATGGAGCCTGGGGCCAGATACAAAGCCTGCACTCTAGAGCCCATGAGCCACAATTACGGAGCCCACACACTGCCACTACTGAAGCCCACGCAACAAGAGCCCATGCTGTGCAACAGGAGAAGCCACTGCAATGGGAAGCCCACACACCAGGACAAAGAGCAGCCTCTGCTCACCACAACCAGAGAAAGCCTGCGTGCAGCAACAAAGATCCATGATAGCCAAGAAAAAAAAACAAACCATGGGAAACTCTAGCTGACTAAGCAGGAAAAGAGAGCTAGGAGCAGAGAGGCTGCTGTGGCACAGGGACGCTGTCCTGGGGCCTGCTACAGCCCTCAGGGTCGGCGAGACTTGAGCTGGGCAGGGTACCTGTGGTCTTGTTTCCAAACTCAGAATAGAAGTCTCTGTCCACAGGCTCAGGTGAGGGTGTGCGCTCCAGCAAGGACAGCACAGCCATGAGGTGCTGGAGGAAGCGGTGAGTCAGGTAGCTGTCCCGTGTCAGGCAGGTAACCACCTGCGCCGCGCAGGGGCCTGCAAGAGAGGCACAGCCATGACCGCAGGTCGCTGCTCCCCCAGCCCCTGCAGGCTTCTCCAGTCTCTGGCAGGTCAGCCTGGACCTGAGGACCACAGAGCCGGGGCTAGGAAAGCCCACGTGGGGAAGCATCACGGGGCCTGGGGATACAGCCGTTTCTCAGGCCGGAAGGGCTGTGACATTTTTCTGGAAGGGGATACAGAGGCATTAGGGAAAGAGCTTAGCTTTCTCTCTTCAGGAAGTATGAATCAGACACATCCTGCCCGAAAGCCCAGGGCCCACTCTGCCCGCCCACCCAGCACTTCACGGCCTCGGCCCCTGGCCTCCCGCTCCAAGTCCTGGGAGCGAGTTCTGCTCTCTCAGCAGTTCCTGAAGCAGCTTCCTCCCGCTCCGGTGAACTGGCCTGTGAGCAGACACATAACTCTGCCTGCAATAATGCACCCATGTATGAAGGTGGAAGCCCACTGGGGACACTGGCCTTCACCCAAAACAGGACAAAGCAGAGTGGCCACTTACCCGTCAGCCGGAAATACTGGTCGAAAAGCCCAACGTTGACTACCTGCAGGTCGCTGAGTTTCAAAACAAAGCACTGAGAGATGTGGAAGGGGCTGTTGTTGTAGTCGGTGTTTTTCTGATGCCAGAAATCTGTGATAGGGAGAAAGGGACCGAATGTAGTGGTGGCTCCCAGGTACACAGCTGCCTGGAGCAGGAAAGGGCCCCCCTGATGGCCTGGCGAGAAGCCACCACCACCTCTGCACACACAAGACCTCATGGGAAATGTGTTCTACAGTCTGAGCGTGCCTGGTGTGTTGGACACACCAGGAGTCCTAGGACAGCCCTCTGGCTGAGGAACCCACCGAAGCCCCAAGGGGCAGAGGCTGCCCAACCCTCCCTGGTCACGCCTGGGTCCCAGTCCCTCAGGGGCCTGGCTGGGTGTGCTCACGCCTGGCTTTACATCCCTTGTGCCAGCTCCAGAAGCAAAGTGCTGACATCACCCCCCCTTCCTCTGAAGAGTCTCAGCCCCGTGAAGCCAAACCACTGCTTTCTCAGGTCACACAGGGGTCTGGAGACAGCAGCCCTCCCGCCCCCTCGGGCCCCAGTGCCCACCCTGCAGTGGCTCCGAGAAGTAGCGGCGGAGGCCGTCATGCAGCACAAAGTACACGGCCTTGGTAGACAGCAGCACGCAGGCGGTCACCTCCAGCCCCGGCGTCTGGTAGAACACCACTGATGACCAGAGGAGGTGCCGCAGCTCCTCGTTTTCCACCTGGACACAGAGGGGCAGGTTGGGGCTGCAGGACAGCAGGTGACCAGGGTGTGTGGCTCCTCCTCCAGGCTTCTGGGAAGGGGGCTTCCGCCAGCCCCACTGGCTGGTGACCTGCTGCCCCGGGGTGGCATGGGACTCTACTGTGTCTTGTCAATGAATGTATAAATACAGGAGAGAGGAGGTGAGGAGCGGGAGACGGTATGCGGTAGGGTCTGCCCAGGGACCGAGGCCGGGGGGAGGCACAGGCACAGGGGGAGGCAGTGACGGAGGGGACAACTGGCCAGGGGAGGGCAGTCTGGGTCCTCCCTACTCAGGTCCTCAAAACTGTGAAGAGGTGAAGCTGGGGAAAAGCCAGCATAGAGAAGGCTGGGAACCCGAAGCTGAGCCCAAAGCGAGCCTGCTGCAGCTCCGGGGCAACCGAGCCACCTTCCTCCACAGGTGTGCCAGCCCTACCTCGGCAATGCTGCTGTGGAAGAACTCGACCACAGCCCGTCCACGCAGGCTGGCGATGTGCCGGAGAGACGGGCAGGCGGGCAGGTGTGACGGGATCTGATTGTCCTCCGATGTGGACTGGATCAGGGGCTCACTTGGGTACTGTGCAGGGGCCTCTGCTTGGGCCAAGGCCTCCACCGAGGCTGAGGCCTCTGCTGGGATCTCTGCTGAGGCCTCAGCCTCCACGGGGACCTCCACTGGAACCAGAGCTGGCACTGAGGCCTCCGCTGGAGCTGGGGCCTTTGCCGGGCTGGGGGCTGAGGCCTCTCCTGGAGTGAGAGCTGGGACCTCCACCAGGGCTGGGGCTGCAGTCTCTGCTGGAGCATCTTCGAGATTCTGGTCACTGTTACATATCCCGATTCCCCCCAGAAACACATTAACATGCGGGCCCCAAATGCAGACTCCCAGCCCACGTGAGCCTCAGCGTGAGGGGACCACATGCACCACACACCACCTCTGGGGCCAGCTCGGGATCTCAGCTTGGTTCCTCGTGGCAAGAGCAAAGGGAAAGATACCGAGGCCCCTGCTCTTGGGAGGGAGATGGGAGGACGTACCAAGGCTGAGACAGGCAGCTGTGACCCACGGGCTAAACATCATTCTGAAAAGGTGGCAGAGGTATCACAATGCCACTCCAGAGTCCAGAATGTGGACGAAGGTGCCCAGGGCTGGGACCTTGGGGCACATGGAGTTGAGAAAGAAAAACTCAACCTTTCTTCAGTCTGCCTTTGAGGCCTCCTCAGGTGTCCCAGGATCTCACCCACCTTGGCCACCACTGCATGTGGCCACACTGGATTTTCCCTCGACTGTTCCAAGCACCAGGTCCAACAACACTCAGAAAGAATCCTCGTGCATGTTGGGAGCCCCCTGCAACCAGCCTACACACCCACAAGCCCGGGATCATGTCAGTGGGGAGTCCTGGATACCATCCTCTCAATCGAACAGCTGTCTGTCGAAAGAGATCCCTGGGGCCCTGATCTGGCACGGGGCCAAATCTCCCCAAGCCTCCCAGGCTCTCCTCCTGCTGGCCTGGGGCAGACATGCGTCTGCGGGGTGAAGCAGGGTGCCTGCTTTCTGTGTGCAGTCCCCTCTGTGGGCAAGGTCCGGTCAGGTTTGGGGGTGGCAGGGAAACAAGACAAGGTGTCACCATCTGAAGCCCCATCGTGGGGGCAGGGAGGCGGAGAGACAGCCTTGTGAGGCCCTCTGGCACAAGCAGCTCCCCAGTACCTGGAGGAACGAGGGGTCTCTACAGAGGGCGTGGGATTTGAGATGGGCACAAGGGGCCCCTGATTCAGCCAGGAAGAGGCTGGATGTCCTTTGGGAGCATCAGTTGAGGGGCTGGGCTAGAGGGAAAAGGCAGGGCCTCTGAAATGCTGGGGTGAGGACAGGGTTTCCATTGTCCACCAGGAACAAATGAAGGGTTTTCTTGTCCAGCTGGGGAAGCCCCATCATACATGAAGCTGGAGGAAGTCACAGGAGAAAGGGGCACCCTGAAGGGCACATGGAACCTCTTGAGCCCAAGGCAGGGATGAACCGTGGGTGTGACCACAGTCCCCCTCATAGGCTACTCTACCCCAAGCCCAGGCAGCTCTGAGGGGAGCCAGGCTCAGCAGCAAGAGAAGGAGGGAAAAGTGAAGACGACGAACACAGGGATGCA